GCAGAGCGGGGTCGGCGGATTACGGCCTTTGTTCAGCTCTGCTCTGCTAGGCAGCTACGTCCCGGTACGTCGTCGAGCTGGAGGATGGGAGCCGCAAGCAGGTGCGACACGGGTCCTTCCTTTGAGCAGCCATACGCAATCGCACTATGTTTGCCATCTCCTTTCGTAGTTCTCTTTTGTAACACCTTACTGTCGACCACAGCTAGTTCCGTTCCAGGTGAAAAGACTGGCCTTGCGATTCAATGAGGAGGATGCGCAGAATTTCGCCTTGCGAGCAGAAGCCTAATTTGCAAAGTACCGCAGCGTCAGCGTGGTGCTGATCGATGACCACGAAGGGATTTTGAAGTGCATGCGACGGCTCAAGTCCTATGTTGGTAAATGCGGCAGTCGGCAGTGCTGCATGGTGCTGCACAAAGATTTTACTCAAGGTCGAGACCTGTCGAGCCAAAAAGGCTCATTGCGAACTGCAGCAGGCTAACACTGCTGTACATCCCATGTAGGGCTGGCACATGTTCTTGGTTCAATTCCTGTACCAGGCCTTTATCCGCTTCATTGAGTCGCAGCCGGACGAGGCATATTGCCACACAAATCGCGACACGTTGATTTTTTTCCAGGCCTTATTCGAGACTCAGCCTCACATGTGGCTGTGCTGAAGCTGGCAATGGGGGCCAAGCTCAAGAATGTGTGAACAGGATTAATGGTGGAGTTGCATCACATGCCATCGCAAAACTGCTGCGTCAAGATGTGTATTTCAGGTGTCCCCCATGCTGCGTGACCAGAAGGAGCGATTTATTCGACAAGGCTTCATCTAGAGTCTAGAGGCTGATACTTGCAACTCACGCCAATTCGTCTGAGGTCTTCATAGAAGTCACCTTGAAGATGCTGGCAGCTTTGTGAGTCAGAGCCTTTGTTTTGATGGCCTGCGCAGGGATTTGAACGGAGCTGTAGCCATTCAGAGTGCCGACTGCAGGCCACATTCGGGATCTCATCAGAGAAATCGAAGAGCACGCCTGGCCCGTTTCATAGACTGAAGAGTTTAAACGTTTAAGCGTGCGAGCCTGTGAAAACACTGCTGAAAGCTTTTGTGTGATTCGCACGGCAAGTCTACACTGGCAGGAATTATGTCTTGTCAATGAAATTTGTGCCTTGGCAGCCTTGACCAGCCTGTGGAGTTCTCATGAGCAGCCTTGTCAAGTATTCTGCGCGCATAGAGAGGCCATTTCGCAGGTTTACGTTTTGAGGTAGCTTGCACCTGCCTGAGGCGAAGGTGAAGAGTGATTTAATTTTGGAGATGGGAACTCCGCCGGCTCCCTGGACTTGCTTGTGCTGTCCGCAGACTTGAGCTGCAGCCCTGCCCAGGTATGCTTGTGTCCGGGATGACACACCCTTCGCGCCTTTGTTTGGTGCTCAGCAGCACTGCTTCGGAGCAAGCCGCATGAATACGCACTGCACATTGTTGCACGTGCTGAGTTCAACAGGATGCCAGCAAGTAAATCCTCTTGAGTGGGCCCATGAGTGCTGCTCAGCAATGCAGAACAGCCAAAGCAGAGATCAAGCTAAGGTTAACGAATTTCTTGCCCATAGAGCCACCGCAGTATGGGCTGGTTCCTCACCAGGCGGTCCTTGTGCGGCAGCAGCAAATAGTTGCCGTTGCTACAACAGTCACAATGGGACAATCGGAGAAGTGTCAAAGTGTGTAGTAGATAAGCCTGTGTGGTCGCATGCCAGGCCGCCGAGGAACGTGTTCTGGAAATTGCGGCCCATTTGGTGAAGCAGCCGACGATCTCCAGAAATGTAAATGTCGTGAACCCAGTTTGCTGGTAGAGCTGCAGTGGCAGAGGCATGCACATCAATTGACAGTCCACTTGCAGTGAATGTAGCTGCGGCTGCAGCAGTGATGCCGGCACAGCAGAAGAAGTTTTGCCGACGTGAAGCCTGAACATGGATTCAGCAGCCTGATTGTTTATTGCTTCTTCATTGCTTGACTAAGCTTCAAAATGCCAGCAGACAGAATAATGTGGTTCCATGCTCAGTAATTATGAGCAATTGTATAGTAGATTTGCGAGCTGCCCCCTAGCCATGCCATGGCAACTGCGTGGCGCTGGAAGAGTGTGTCTCGGAGCGGATTGCTGTGTTGAAAATTGTCACTACATTTTGCCCAGTCCCACTAGAGCCCTCAGACTTTCCAATTTCTCCATACATGATGAAGCTGTGGCCCATCGTGTCATCAAGTGCAGCACCGCAGCAGTGTCAAGCGCAGCTCATTTCATGCAAAATCCTCTGACCATGCGAGGGTAAGTCTAGAATCAGTCTGATGCAATGTACAAAGCTTGCTGCATAGGGAGTCTTTGCAGATACCTGCAGTTGTGGTTGAATTGCTGCAGGGTCAGAGAGACAGGTGTAGGCCTCACTTTTCCCGAGCCATGGTGCTCCTCAGTGATGCCGAGACGGATGTTGGCCTCCAGAGGAATCCGCCACAAGGGTTCATAGGGAGAGGTAGTGGAACCGTGCAGCGGTGCCGTTTCCGTTTGTTTGCTTGCTCTCTGCGCTCCTGTGATACCTTGTTGCACTGAATATTTACAGATCTAGTAGAGGATGGCAAGACGTCGGCGTAGAAGCTCAACCATCATTGTCGTGCCTCGGCTGACATATCCTTTCTGTTGTCAGCTGGAAATGTTGTCTGCTGCTGTTGAAGCTTTTTCAAGAAGCCTGCCCCAAGTTTTGGGCAGGCCTCGATTCTCGCCGTGACTGTGGGGCTATTTGGCATTTTGATGCTGATTCCGCAGCTCGTGGCATCTGGGCTTCTTGCCTACTCGTTTGGGATTCGGCATGCTGTTGATGTAGACCACATCGCTGCTCGATAGCATCAGCATGTTTTTGTCTTCTCGTTTGGCGGTTTTCGGGACAGCAGGGCACTTAGATCGTACGGTCAAGTTTAGCGGCGGATACATTCAATGTCTTCTAAGGCTGCGATAGACAACATCACACGAAAGCTGACAACCAACAACAGCAGTCCACGCACAGTGGGAATGTTCTTTGCTCTTGGACATTCTCTGGTAGTTGTATTGGCCTGTTGTGCTATCCTGGTGACGCAGCACTTCATGAAAGACATGCTCGGCACCTTCCACCAGTACGGCAGCGTGATCGGAGTAGCAGTATCTGGAAGCTTTTTACTAGTGCTGGGTACTCTAAACTTATGGACCACTCGGCAGCTATGGATGGCGTGGAAGGGCGAGGGCGAGAGCCACAGCCATGATGTTTCCATGGGCTTTTGCCTCAGATGTTGCCCCAGACTCTTCCAAGCTATCTCACAGCCGTGGCATATGTTGTTCGTGGGCTTTCTCTTTGGATTGGGGTTTGACACTTCCACGGAGGTGGGTCTCTTGGGCGTGGTTGCCGTGTCAAATGGACTGGCCGTGCCGGCAAGTATCCTGCTTTTGCCCTTACTTTTCACGTCCGGCATGTGCCTTCTTGACACCCTGAATGGTTTCCTGATGGCCTGGATCTACCGTACATCTTTGGAGGACTGCTGAGGTAGACAAGACGCACAAAACCAATAGCAACAACATCAACTTCCTAACTTGACCCTGAGCAGCAGCATGCATTCAATCCCGACAGGATGACAAGCAGAAGATCTACTTCAATCTCTTTGTCACCGCAACGTCAGGTTCGGTTGCACTTCTAGTTGGACTTGTTGAATTGCTGGGGCTGCTGGCCAACAAGGCAAATCTAAATGGTTGGTTCTGGGAGACTGTGCAGTCTGCCAATGACCACTTTGAGATTCTAGGCATAGCCGTCGTCTGCACATTTCTGTTGGCGATGGCGGTTGCAATGTGTTGCTTCAGACGAGTGTTCAGGAACCGTCAAGCAGGGGCGGAATCTTCCATGTACATAGAACGAGATCTCCTGCGTTATGTCCAGAGTGGACAGTTTATCGATCGGTCTGGTGTTTAAGCCGGCCCATCTTCCAAGATCATGTTCAGGCTGGGTCCTTTCTGCAAGCGATCCGCAGTCTGCAAAGAACAGGGTAAGCCGTTGAGCTGCTCTTTGCTTTCCACCAAGTGCTGAAATGAGACAGTGCCATAGATTGTGGCTTCGGACGGGGTCGTGTCATCAGAGTTGCCTCCGGTTTTAGTGTTCCGGTTCCAGTATCCAGATGCCAGCCTGGTGTATAGACATTCACATGGGACAGTGGATTGCCGCTCCAAGGAGCTTTAGTCTACTCTCCTTCAAGGGGGTTATATAGGGGACTATATAGAGTATTATGGGGGTTCTTAAGGGGGATATTAGGAGTTTTGACAATGGATTACATTTTTCTTTACTTCTAGTACAAGAAAGGCTGCGGCATGGCTACACGAGAGCGGAACAACGTGGAAACAGGCAACTCGGTGCTTGGTGAGGATGGGGTGGTGGAGGGCAGCTGTAGGTCTCTTCTGTTTTCCCGTTCAATTTGGATTGTTCATCGAATCCCGATGAAGGAATTGAAAAAAGTAAGCATCAACAACGAGAATCAGAAATTGTAACAAGAACTGGAACATGAGATGTAAGCTATGGCCTGAGTTCCGAGAGTGCAAGGTGCTTCGCTTGCTCCTGGGAACTTGGATGGCTTTATGCGGTGGCAGCCTCTACGCATTTTCGAGGTTCCCAGCAGCTTCGGCACGATTGCATCAGAGCCCAGCCTTTTGCCCGATTCGCTTCACGTCTCTTAATTTTGACTTGGGAAGATACTTCCAGCCCCCCAGCAAGAGCACGTATGCTCTGTAAACTACTAGCGCACCCTCTTCCAGCGCAGGTTCGAGGTTCAGATCATGACCGAGTGCGGCCTCACAGCACAGCAGCTGGACATCGTCTATGCAGCGGGCCAGGCTCTCATGCCGCTGGGTACTTTGTACGGGCTACATAGAGTTTCCAGGGGTCGGAGTCCTCGGCCAAAAATGCAAGGGCTTGAGACGTCAGCGCATGAGCCTTACCATGCAGGCTGGTGTGGGTCTTGGCATCATTCCGGGCGCTCTCTTCGACCTATATGGCCCGGTGGGGACAAGCCTTTACGGTGCCTGGTTGGATAGTAGTGATCTGGTGTTTATTGTGTGCCTGCACACATGGTGGCCATACATTGGGTCAACAATGTAGGAGTGTGTGTAGGCATGATGATGATCACGGTGATGATGATGGTGGTGATGATGATGATGATGCACGTGCCTCATGCCACGAATCGCACACATAAATACACCCTACTACCTTATTTGCCAAACTATCAGAGCAAGGCGCAGCCTTCTCCGTTGTGGGAAACCTGGGCCTGGCCTTGATGCTGCGAAGGGACGGATGTGGGGGCGTCCCTACTCTGGCTGCCTGGTACTTCCTGTTGCAGCAGGCCTGGGGTCGAAACACGCATGGCTGGTGGAGGTAAGGGCCCTTCATATTGCAAAAGTCTCTGTGATGAAGCGTGTTCCATGCTGCGGGCAGAGTCCTAGGAGGCTTGAGGATTCAACGGGCCTTTGGAACAATTTGAATACATTTTGCACGCATGGATGATCCAACCTCGCCTTGTGGACTCGAAGCTAATTGGACCATGTAATTATAGAGACCACAAATCTCTTCAGTTTACAGATATCGTCCTGAACTCGTTCCCCTCGAGAGTGAACAGATCTTGACAGACAAGTGCAAAGAAGGCAGTCGCAGCTGTTTTGTGGGAGGTCACAGCTAGGGCGCTCGTAGAAAGAGTATGTTCGGCCTGCTTGCAGCTTTGAATTTGCCCGCATGGGAGCAGGGCTCCGTGGCCATTTTCCAAGCCGGGCTGTTCACCAACATCACCGAAGCCCCGCCAAAGATGCAGGCACGATGTTTTCAAAATCTCACGAGAGATGATTAGCACATTTAGTTGACCGCTTCTGCAGCTTGCACTGCTGTTGTGGGCCCCTGGCTCATGAGTTTGTCTGCAGGGTGTTGTCACTGGCATTGTCTCCGCTGGCTATGGCCTATCCGCAGCTTTTGTGACTCTCTTGTTTTCGTTCTTCAAGGAGGACAGGAAACTGTGTAGCAGCTCTTTCGTACATTTGTGCACGACCGTCTTTGGGCTGGAAACGCAAGGACCTGGAACTCTACTTCAATGGAACTGCCTTCCTTTTCTCAGTGACCGGGTTGCTGGCGGCATGTGTATTGCCGTGCCGAATCTGCATGATAGTGTGTGTGTCTGTTATGGGGTCGTGTGAGAAGTGCCGCATTCATGCAGATCAGAATGTCGTCAAGATTCCTCGGTTCATTGCGCTTTTAATCTGGACATTGCACACGGTGAGGTTGCTCCGTAGTGGATCCCGCGCAGCTGCCTACGGTCGGTTGGACCACAAAGATGAGGCCATGCGTGCGTGGACTGCCAGTGAAACTCACCTGTCATGAGCCGGAATTTCGTGATGGCCGCCCATCACAGGCTGCACGACGGTCGCCACCGCCAACATCGTGACTGACTTGCACTTAGCGATGCTGTTTCGCGCTTGGCTTTGGCTTTTACTCATGCATTTTACGATGCTTCAGAGGTGATGCAACTGATTTCTCGAAGAGCTTGACTGCAGGTATGGGCGGCAGGAGCAAGATGATGCTCCGGATTCTCCCACTCCAGTTTCCTCTACACTCACACTGAGCCGGCGAGAGATCTTGTGTCTTTGCCTACATTTGGCATGGTGGCACAGTGCGATGACAGGAGAATTTGCTTCCTGTCTTCTTGGGATTCTTGAGATTGCGCTGCTGATCTTGTCTGCGTGGCATCTGGGGGAGATACCTGCGCATGTTTGCCAGTCTTGACGCAAGCTGTCATTCGAATTCTCATGCTGTTGCCAAGTTGCTGTCCAGTTTCCAAGGTGCCGAGCTGATTTCTGGTTGTGTCTCCTGCCCTTTGTGCTGGTGCAGAGCATCGGTTCCGGCCTCTACATCGCCAATCTGTCCCTGCATCTCGACGTGAATGCCTGATCAAGTGGCTGTTCGGTCACGCGTCTTCTTTTTTCAGCGCCATGCTAGATAAGCACAAGACGCGTGACATGTGGCTTGTAGTGCGAGGGATGAGGCAAACTTTCGCACCATGTTCACGAACAGGTGCTGTTCTGTTACAGACTAGTAGCTGCTTCGGAAATATGGGGTTCCAAGCTTCCCAAGGGTTCAACTGGGAACAAGATGGGGCGCAGTAGCCTGCCAATCAAAGCTTTGATCAGTCACTGCCCTTGTTGTTTGCCATGTAGATCCAGGATTGCTGACTCTCTCGGCATTTCACCGGATAGCCGAGCGGTCTACGTCCGCACCTTGCGGCCCAGCTGAGAATGCTGAGAAGCAAGAAGAAGTAAGAAGGGCTGCAGCACTGCGCAAGCTTGTACTCTACGTCATGTCGTCTTCCAGCAACAGTAAGAGCCCTTTTGTCCCCGCATACAGAGCCAGCGCACCTCCTTTTTTGGTACTTGGTTGTGCTTGCTTTCTTAGTTTTCGCACGGGCTGCAGTCATGGCTTTTGTACGGCAAGATCATGCAACGGGAGTGCTATAAAGTATTTCCATACCAGGCTGAGCTACGCTGATACCCAGTGTAATGCCAGGAAGGCAGCTGCCAGTTGGCATTGCGTTGAGGCCTCTGTAGAAACTTTGGGAAGACATGCGGTCTTGAGTTGCTCTTCAGCTGTCAATCTTGAGTGAGACGTTTGGAGACCCGGAGAAACCGGATCCCGGAAAACAAGAAGCTGCAAAGGTCCTACTGCAATTGCTTGGGCCGCTTCTGCAGTGGCTTAGCGATGGATGCGCTGGAGCCCAGAGGCTTTGCACAGCTTTGCATAGCTTGGCGCAGTGCATGTTTCTGTCGGTTGGACGAGGCATCTATCGGTCCGACCACCTGCTCCTAAGCACCGTTGCGGCCATCCTGGCCTCGCTCGCTCTTTGTCTCCTGCAAGAGGAGGCCTGGCAGCTACAGTCTTGAGCAAGTTTGCCCAAGGTTGTGTGGCAGTGCAGGTTGAAGACCTCAAACTTCGCCAGGTTGCGTGAAGCATGTCACCTGGGCTCCTGTGCACAGGTTATTCCGACCATGCTGCTACCAGCAATAGCGCTGATTGCAGCTGCCTATGGTTCCAACTGGGCCTCTCTGCTGACTTCAGGTGACAACTCAAAATGAGGACTGGGGGAAGCATTGTGCAAGAAATCAAAAGGTTAGGAGACGGTCGTGACCAGATATCTACTTGGGAAGGCAGCTTGTGCTGTATTTTGGCTGCTGTGGCAGTTGGACCAAGGCGATCATGCCATCCTACATCTCTAAGCGTTTCTACGGCTCGCATGAATCTCGGTTGCAGCAGAATTCACAGGCCATAAGGAGGTACTGATTCGACACACATACATATGCAAGATCCTTCAAGAAGCGGCGCTGCTGGCGACAGTTGGAACTGTACTAGCGGTTAGCTGCACGTCGGTACAGGTGTCCGCATCAACTAACAGTTTTTGTTTTTACAGAGGGCCAGAACCTGACGCCAGGTTGGCGTCATGTTCAACATCCACTCGGGCCACTTAGCGCTGGCTGTGCTTCTGATGTCCTACGCGGTGCGGCCGCCCATTCAAATGGGGCTAAAACATGCTGTGATTTACTGTGGTTAATGGGGCAAGAGTCTACATGTCTTTGCAGGTTGGCGGTTTGTACGATGCACAAGCTGACTTTCAGAATGAAGGCAGGAGAGCTAACATCTAGCAGGAAGTGGCTGGTTTGTCCTGATTTGCATTAACTATTCGAAGATGGCATAGTGCCATTGTGAGGTAGCTTTTGCCGCGGGACGGTTTGCTGGCGTGCAGCGTTTATCCTTGGCTTGGGTGTGCAGGCGCCCAGCCGTTGCACTGTATGCGAAGTAAAGAGCGAGGTGAGCTTAGACTTTGTTCTGCAGGCCGCAGCATTTGCAGTGTTGCTGGTGCTGATGCCAAAGCCCCGGTCAGGGCTCATCAGCCATGGGCTATGTGTGTGAAGGCATGTTGTCCACAATGCTTCCACCACAGGTGGAAGGTTCGCCGGCCGTCTTCCGACACCAGGGGTGTTGCTCCGGAGAAGACCTGCCATGAGAAGTGAGCTGCTGAAGGTCTGCCCAAAAACTGGATGCGCTGAAGATGCAGGACAAGAAAGCCAAGGATGGGGACTGACCCTAATCCTTCAGCAGGAGCCTTGGCTCATGCCCGAGGACAAGTATATCTTCGCATGGTGGATATGTTCAAGATGAGCACGGTGGACGCTGCCAGCATTCCATTATCAGGCTGCAAGGCTGCTGAAGAATCTGAACAGCTGAGCCGACGCGATACTGGCGGACTGCGGCTGGATGCTCCTGCTATGCCCATTGGTCAAGCAAGCTGACGTGCACGGCTGACTGATGCACTGCAGTGTAGCTGAACACAGCACCAGAAATACGCTGCCCAAAATGTAAGAAGCTGCCAAGAGTTCTTGGGTTAAAATTTCGAGGCGGGATCGTTCTACGACATTATCCTGTAGGGCCGAGCATGGATATGCCAATCTATGCCTTCTCTAAGATTGTGACCATGGCCGTGTGGCGTCGCTTCGGCGAGGAGGCAGCCAATCCCATTTCTGGCCTCAGTAATTCTGTGGTTCCTGTCAGCTCCCTTTGCTGCAGCGTCAGATCGACCGCCACCGGATTCTGGATACAACCCGCTGTGGGAAGACTGGCGATCGGGGTGCTGTTCGAGGCCCTGTAAAGACGCGTGCCTTGAGCTTGTGTAAGCAGCTCGAGCTAAGAGTAAAGAATTCTCGCAGGTCCGACCGGGGCGGTTTCAAGCTCAGCATGCCTGGAATTTGTCGACACTTCTTCAGCTTTTGGCGAGCCCTTGCACAGGTTCAGGATCCCAGATTCCGATCTTTTGCTCCAACGGACTTCATCCATCACATGGAGGAACACCGGAAGGCGCTCGCAGCAAGCCATGCTTTTTCAGTTACACCGACATGGCAAGCTTGGGTTCAGGATGTTGCAGTCATCCTGGAGCGTCACTGGAGAGACTATATTGTTTCGGAGGCTGCTTGAAGAGTCAGAGTTGAGGGATCCCATGTTCACTTGGCTTGCGTGAGGTCCTCGACAAGATGTCGGAGGTCAATAATTTTTTCATTGAGAACCCTCAGAAGCACTTGAGGCTGCAGACTGCAAGATGTGGTAAAGAGTCCGTCCAGGTAAGTAATGGCCTCCGTAGATAAGTTGTTCTGTTCAGCAGAGCGGGTGTGGACAGGCAGCCGCTTCACCGCGTCCTGCGAAAGCCAGCTCCCAAGGTGCATACTTTTGCCTAATTATGAAAGCTCCCCCACAGGAGCTTTCGGTTGAGGCCAGCTTTGCTGATCAGTCCAAAGGGGCATGGGGAGGGAGAACCTCCCAAAATGAGGACTTGATTCTGGTGCTTGCCAGGGCTAGACCCCACCTGTGGACGGATCAGCTTACTCAGCTACACAAGCCCTATGTAGGCTGAGCATTGAGCTGGGCTC